ATATATATATATATATATATATATATATATAGGCATTTTAAACCCTTTCCACATTCTTGCAATATTCTCAACAACGTTTCTAAACTGTAAACGCTCTAAAAGACACAGAATGTCATGAGTTCAGCTCCCTGCCTCGTCTACTAATTGCCACCTACAAGCGCTTTTGGCCACGCCCACTTCTCCGCTCTGCACGGAGAACAGCTGATGAGCTGCAGCAGGAAGTTTATCCTGCAGTGTGGGCTGCACAAAGGTGCAGGAGGTGCTAAATAATTTCAAATAATTTATTTTAAATAAAAAGTCCATGCCGATCGTGCGGCTCATCCATCAGTCAGCCAGTTGTGTCATGTTCCATCTTATTTTGAAAAACTGCGATGGAGTCAGTCCGCAATAAACAAACCGCGAAGTAGCAAGGGATTATTGTATTGTAATGTCTATAATGTTTCCATTTTTTCTAAAATGTTATTTTTAATTATATTTGATTCCAAGGCTAAGTATTTCACATATTGTGGTATTGCTCCAAAGTCCTGCTGTGTGTTAAACGTTTCCTAATAATTGTGTCATTTCTTTGTCAGCACTGTTTTAACATTTCCCTTAAAATCCTCCTCCTGCCTCTCACACACCTCTCTCTCTTTCTTTTGTTCTCCAGGTTCCATGTTGAAGGTGAACCCTGAGGAACGGCTGTCGATTACAGAGGTGGTGAACCAGCTGCAGGAGATAGCAGCAGCACGCAATGTGAACCCTAAATCTCCTGTTACAGAAGTAAGTGCATCATAACTGCCAGTTTAAAAAAAACTTTGGCTCTTCCTCAATATAAATCACAAAGTGTATTTTGATGCAATTTACTCAGTTGGTTGAGAGTCAAGCTAAACTTAATGTCCATCAGTCTGTAAAGTCACTTTAAAAAGCTGAACCCTTGGCCTCTTCCTCTGTGAGCTCTCAAATTGCTGGTTTGGTTACTTTTACTCAGCTTCACATAGAACACACTCACTCACTGACGAGTACAAAGGAGTCTGTTTTCTCCTTTTCTGGCTCCTCTCTTCTCAGCTGGCAAAGTACTAATGGCTCCAATGAAAGACGCCACGGTTTGGTGGATTTAAATTCACAATAAACATGAAGAGAAAGCAACACTTCTTTTTAATGGCAAAACAGCTTCTATACTAAACTGGCCAATCTCAGAGTTAGTGTTTTTGTTTAATCCAGCCTTTAATCTCTTACAGTTCTTACCACAAATCCTGGTACTCATCGTTAAATCCTCAGTCATGGCTCTGATAGATGTAATGCTGATTTTAATGCCAAATCTCCAGGTTTCATTGGACTTTTCTGTCTTTAAGTAACTTGTTTTTTGGCATTAATATGAATCTGGATCATTGTTAAGCATCCTGGACTGAATTTATAGAAAAAAAAATCGAAAGTTATAATTATTGTGCATTCATGCTCCTAAATAAATTAGTAAATTAAGACACAAGGTTTGCCTGAATACAAAATTCTTACTAAATCTGAATCCTGATGAGGCTGGTAAGTGTATGCAGGGGGAGGCAGATTTGGCGATCGCTGATCTGATTAAGGTTAAGAAGGGGTTTCCCTGTTGGACATAAGGAGATTACGATCCTGCTGGGTCTCCTCCTCCACTCCCTGCTGCAGTTCAGCACAGACATATGGACTAACAGACTGTGTGACGTAGCAAAGAGAAAACTTCTTCAGAAAGCGAGCAGAGATGGAACTGAGATGCTGATAGAGAAATGCAACAAATGACTCAGAAGGCGAACGATTTAAAAAAAAATTCCCTTTTTGAAGGATTTTTTTTTTTTAAACCTTTTTTCTGCCATTACTCTTTTTGTATTTGTTTGTTTTGTGACTTTGAACATTAAAGTTCAGGTTGCAATATTTTGCTGTTTTGTTTCTATTGTTTTTATTCTTTGTTTACCTACTGGTGACGATGTTGAGTACGTACTACTGTTGGCGTCCTGTGTATGACGGCTATGAATGTCTGCAGCTTTTGGAGCAGAACGGAGGTTTTGGCAACAATGGAGCTCAGCTGCCTCTGCAGATCCACAGCGTACAAAACAATGCAGGTAAAAGTGTGCTTGTATGGAAATGTTACGGTTTCTGAAAGTTTGTGCATGGGGACCAATGCAATAATATTTATTTGTATTAAGTTCCCCATTTATTAATTACGTTTAAACAAGCCAAGTCCAAAGTGTTACATTAGAATGCTCTTAGTATCCTTATACAATAGAACAAAAGCTGACAAAATAACCACATTATTACTTAGCTTTAAAAAAAAAAGTCTGTTGTAACAAAACACTCATACATTAACACACAAACACTCATCTGCACCCACAAAATATATTTACCTAAGAAGTACACTGTAAGCAAACCTGCCACCTGACGACAACTAAATGATACACGTTTTTTAATCCAAGGATCCATATTCTCATATATTCTCAAAGAGTTTGAATTGTTTTCTTCTGACACAATAACCATCACCTTGATATACATTTCTTTTTTTGTTGTTGTTATCAGATGGCTTAACTACCGTAATTATCGGACTATAAGTCACTACCTTTTTCACAAGCTTTGAATCCCACGGTTTATGTAATGCTGCAGCTAATTTATGGATTTTTTATTTTTATTTTTTTTTGGACAAGCTAATGAGCTTCCTGCCACCAAAACATTTAGCTTCGTCACACCCAGGCGCTCGCATACCTGCCCAATATATGTCTCTCTCGAGGGGTGGATCCTCATGACTCAATGAGACTACCTGTATAAATAAAGGTAAAAAATAAAATTTGACCAGTGAAATTACCGAACAGGTCACAGTGGACCAATGAAACTTTGAATTACCGTAAATGAAACGCACTCACTAAATTCTTCAGGTCAGTTCTTTTGCACTTTATGAACACACCCTCCTCATAAAAAACACAAAAAATGCAGATGGTGCATCTTTCAAGTTAAACGCAATCGATTGGCTGTTGAAGAAGGAAATAGAGCATGTAAGCTAGGCGTTTCCTGGTAAGCTACTGTATTTATTTATTTTTAACCTGCCTCGTTTTTTCATTCATTCAACCTTTATTTAGACAGGTAAATCCCAATGAGCCTCGAGGACTCATTTACAAGAGAGACCTGATTACAGCCTGACCTCGTTACAGGCAGTGTTCAGAAAAACAATGTACTGTACGTATTTGCTTATGTTACCGGTACATATTTAATTAAAAGTTTTAAAAAATCTTTGTGTAAATATCTCCTGTTATAATGTGGACACCTGCGGCTTATAGACAAGCGTGGCCTATATATGTACAAAATAGATTTTTTAAAAATTTTTAGTGGGTGTGGCTTATATTCGGGTGCGCTCAATAGCCCAGAAATTACGGTAATTAGTATACTGTGATTATTAAATATGAGTTTGTATTATTACATACAATTTATAAAGTTTGTTTTTGTTGTTCCATTTTGACACAATGTAAGACTGAAGTTTTGGTCTTTTACTTCTAAACAGTAGATGGAAAAAAATAAATATTCAGGAAATGACTAACTCCTCCATATATAGAAATGGACTTGTGCAGAAAACAAGCTGAAGGAACTTGATGTTAAATATATTTATTTACATGTACTTGCAACTTCATCAAAATTAACTTAGCAAGCTTATCATTTTTCCTTCATCACACACGTGTACAAACAAACATGCAAGCCTCTTCGTGCCTGTTAAGAGGATTTCTGCACTGCCACTCCACCATCTGTTGAAAAGCAGAGTGTTTGCTCTTTCCCCTGCAGACCGTCTCTAACTGCATATTAACATAACTCATTAGGCAGATGTAGCAGAGCAGGAAGCAGCTGCTTTTATTTAATGCATTTGATTCTCTTTGATAAACCACTTAGTGCTTTTAAGGGTTTGTTTTCCAAAAGCATCTGGAAATTATATAGTTATTTTTTTTCTTCTTGATGCCCAGGTGTGTATGATCCTGATCAAGCAGGCAGTGGCTTCTTGGATATCTTGAGGGGAGGAACAGAGCGCTTCCTGACCAATATCAAGGACACATCCTCGAAAGTCATCCAGTCTGTAGCCAGGTAAGTCTGTCCAACCCTGTCAAAATGGATATTTAATTATATTTTGTGTGCATCATATTTAGTTATTCATCATTATAACCTTTTTCTTACTTGGCATTACATGGGTTTGAGACTATTTTTTATTTATTTATATGGTTAAGCTAAAAAAATAAAATAAAATTAGCATGACCTTTTGTAACTTCAAAATGTGTTTATTTTGCTCAGCTGTTCACTCGTGCATCAAAAGCCTTTTTTTTAAAGGGGCTATTTGTCAGTTGTCAATCATTTAATTTCACTACAAGTGCATAAACCTCAGTAGCCAATTATTTTTCATCTGTTAATTGTATTCATTTTTATAAACATTTCACAACGGTGCTTGAACGTTTGTGAAGCTTTTAGAATTTTCTATATTTCTGCATAAATATGACGTAAAACATCATCAGATGTTTCACACAATGCCTAAAAATAGATCAAGAGTATGTGAACCTCTAGGATTAGCAGTTAATTTAAAGGTGAAATTAGAGTCAGGTGTTTTCAGTCAATGGAAGTATGATCAGGTGTGAGTGGGTGCCCTTTTTGATTTAAAGAACATGGATCTATCAAAGTCTGCTCTTCACAACAGGTTTGTGAAAGTTTATTATGGCACGAACAAAGGAGATTTCTGAGGACCTCAGAAAAAGAGTTGTTGATGCTCATCAGGCTGGAAAAGGTTACAAAACCATCTCTAAAGAATTTGGACTTCACCAATCCACAGTCAGACAGATTGTGTACAAATGGAGGAAATTCAAGACCATTGTTATCCTCCACAGGAGTGGTGGACCAACAAAGATCACTCCAAGAGCAATGCGTGGAATAACTGGCGAGATTACAACATTTGTATGACAAATAAAGAACCTTGAATCTTGAAAAAGACCCCTGTGTAACTTCTAAGCAACTGAAGGCCTCTCTCACATTGGCAAATTCATGAGTCCACCATCAGGAGAACACTGAACAACAATGGTGTGCATGGCAGGGCTGCAAGGAGAAAGCCACTGCTCTCCAAAAAGAACATTGCTGCTCATCTGCAGTTTGCTAAAGATCACGTGGACAAACCAGAAGGCTGTTGGAAGAATGTTTTGTGGACGGCTGAGACCAAAATAGAACTTTTTGGTTTAAATGAAAAGCATTAAGCTTAGAGAAAGGAAAACACTGCATTCATCCCATCTGTGAAACATGGCGGTGGTAGTATCATGGTTTGGGCCTGTTTTGCTGCATCTTGGCCAAGACGGCTTGCCATCACTGATGGAACAATAAATTCTGAATTATATCGGATAATTCTAAAGGAAAATGTCAGGACATCTGTCCACAAACTGAATCTCAAGAGAAGGTGGGTCATGCAGCGAGACAATGACTCTAACCACACAAGACGTTCTACAAAGAACGGTTAAAGGAGAATAAATTTCCATGTTTAGGAACGGCCAAGTCAAAGTTCTGACCTTAATCCAATCTAGATGTTGTGGAAGGACCTGAAGCAGCAGTTAATGCGAGGAAACCCACCAACATCCAGAGTTGAAGCTGTTCTGAACGGAGGAATGGGCTCAGATTCCTCCAAGCCGGTGTTCAGGACTGATCAACAGTTACTGGAAACATTTAGTTACAGTTATTGCTGCACAGCGGGGTCACACCACATACTGAAAGCAAAAGTTCTCATACTTTTACCACTCACAAATATATAATATTGTATCATTTTCCTCACTAAATAAATGACCAAGTATAATATTTTTGTTTCATTTGTTTAACTGGGTTTTCTTTATCTACTTTTAGGAATTGTGTGAAAATCTGATGATGTTTTAGGTCATAATATTTGATAAAGATAAAAAATTTTAACAAATCCTCACTTTATCAATGTTCGCGAAACCGGAAGATTGGAA